GAAAATTTGGTTTTTAGCTGATGGCACTTTTGGGAGGTGGCAAAAATTCTAAGATGTAAATAAAGCCTAGTTGGAGGAAGGTCATGGAAGGATATATATTGTTCCATCTCTCTCTGTCTGTCTCTCTCTCTGTCTGTCTGTCTCTGCTTATTGGTCCCCAGGAGGTGAACAACTTTTCTCAGACATACCTTTCTACCATAATGTTTCTGCCTTGATGAGGCCCCACAGCAATGGAACCAGCTTACCATGGACTGAAACCTCTGGAACTATGAGGTAAAACAAACGTTTTTGGGTTTTGTTACAGCTGTGAAAATCTGACTACACACTGGCTTTCCATGCATCCTTGGGAGCAGTGATTAAGACTCATCTGCCATCTTCAGGGAGAAGCCTCTGGACTCCGTCTTGACTCAGCGCAGGCTTTCAGGATTAACAGCAAAGTTGATTCCAAATGACAATCGAAGAAAATAAAGCAGGCATGTATTTTCCTCTCTGCTTTAATAAGCCAATTATTCTGAGAGTAGCTAAATTTTTTGAAACAATCAAGAATTCAGTCAATTAAGTGGATTCTCAACATCAGACAATCCACTAGTCATAATTTATCACCACTCCCGTCTCTTGGTGTTTTAAGGAGAATCATTCCACTTGTATTGTTATCTCAAAAGTGTTTTAAAATGAGCCTTAAGTGTGCTATTTGTAAGTAGGGGACAGTTATTTTAAAACTGCCTGAATAGTAGGTAAAGATGACATGCCTCTTAGAGAACAAAAAGGCCATAGCAATGTGAGGGAGAACATGTAAGAGTGGATGTAATGGTAAGAATTAAAATGACGTCTAACGATTACTTTCAATTTGAATGAGGTGAAGAAAATCAGAATTACAATACTCTTGTGATTAAACTTTGATGAGATGAAAATGTCATCATTGTTTGATGAGAATTTTTTATTAGAGTTCAAAGAATATGAATGATTTAACCACAATGTACCAACACCACAGGGCTGAATATTCTGTATTGGTATTCCTCAAGTCTTCCTTATTGCAGGTCACTGGAGAAATCTCAGCTGCTCTTGTCTCGTTCCTAAGTCCAACAATTTCCATAACACCAGCTTGTGGAACAATGAGATAAAACTCAAGTCCTTTGTGATAAGTTTTGACATTGAAATCTTGGAGCAACTTAATGTGGTGAAGTATTTCCAGGAGCCATGAGCTAAGATTTAGGCTCACAACTTTTTTTTTTTTTTTTAAAGAAGAAATTTTAGAGACTAGTTTTCTTGAGAGAAATGGGGAGATCTTGCTTTTGTTTTGAATTCCTTCTTGAAAATTAAGATTCAGTGGTCCTTTCACTCTGCAGGAAGGATCTAGTTCCCTTTAGCCTGACATTTTGACAGTTCAATTGAGATAAGGACTTAGGTTTGTCAAAGAGGATGCATAGTCCAATTCTCCCTGGGGCCCTCTAATTACAGTACAGGAGGACAAGAGCATGCAAAGTCAGCACAGGGATTTCTCTAAACTGTGCAGGCACAGCTGCTGTTTCAGTGATTCCCACAGGGAGAGGCAGGTGGGAGAACTGGGGGACCCTCTCTAGGGTCCTCCTTCATCTTTTTTCCTTTCCCTTTCTTTCTCCTTTGAAAGCTCAAACTTTAAACAAATAAATTTCTGCAGTCTCTGGTAACGTACTTTATAAGATTTACTTATTTTTTTTACTTATGTACTTTTTGTCTTCTGCTAGTCTGGAGTCAGAGTATTTGGGGATGTAAACTACAATTTTGTATTTTAGAAGCAAGGTGGAAGTAGGTATATTAAATCTCATTTTCTACGTGCCAATCTTTCCCATTCTGTTGACAGAAAAAAATTAGCAATGGTCATTATATCCCGTTATTTCCCAAAGGTGCTGCCAGTGTGACAATAATAAGACTTAGTCCATTCAAAAATACCTTTATTTTTTTTTCAGTTTTATAAAGCAGCTTTTTAACTCTATAGGCTGGTATAGAGTAGGCAGTAATAAGATAGCTCCGATTATTGCTGAGTCCTACTTCTTGACTTCCTTATTAATAGTTTATTGAAAATATATCTGATGAAAATATTTATTAAATGCTTCTATTGATCCTTGAACAAAATAAGTCCTTAAGTATATGCTGATTGGGTGGCTAACAGGTGAATATGGGTTAAAATATATGCTGACAATTAAAATTGGGATGAGGGATTAACCTGCAATGAAGGGCAAAAAGAAATGATCAGACTAGATAGGTTAAATAGTTCATTTTGATTAAAACGGGAGGTATAGGTTTCTTTCCTTAGGCTCACTGAAGAAAGTTTTCTTGGCCAGAGTCTCTTTCAGAAATATTTTGTTGGCTCAGGTGGTTTATCTTTGTGGCATTTGCCCTTGAATGTTTAAATCCTCCTTCAGAGGTGGTCAAAACGATAATAAGAGATTGGGTCGGGAACAACAGAGAGGTTCCACTGTATTGCAATCTTGCCTGGATATGAAAAATCAAAGGCTTGCAAAAGGCAGATAGTGAAAGTTGGAGCTAGTGGAACCCAAAAGCACCAGAGCCAAGAGGCCACAGAGGGCAACAGCTAAGAGCAGAGAGCTGGGGGCAGACTGCCCAGGTGCAAATTCCACCTCTAGCCACCGGAGTGCTGTGACTTTTAACACATTTCTCACTTTCCTTAGACTTTGGCTTCCTCATCTGTAAAATAGGGATAGTTCCATGCCTACTTCAAAACTTACAATGAGAAGAGAGCAAACTGTATAGAGCACATAACCAGTGCAGAGTAAGCGCTCCACAATGAAAGCTAGTGTAGTTACTCTTATTGAACACAGAAGACTTTAATGGTAGCTTTGCAATTACTCCTCTACTTTAGTATTTTCTGGATCAACTGCAAAATTCATAGTGGTCTTGATAATACTTTCTGAAGAAAACCTAAACCAAAATTTGCGTACATTATCTGAAGTACCAAGTAAATCCACTGCAGCTGTCAACCCTATTCTCTTTCTTGAGGCCTTATCCAAGGTCTGTAATGTTCACTTCAGGTCTGCAGTACTTAATTTATTGCCACATGGTGGTGTGGTACACGGAGCCCCCCGAGTCTGGAGGTATGTATGTCATTGAAGGAAAGTGTGGCTGATGGGAAGTTATATGGAGCATGTGAGGGATTGGAATTCATTGGGATATGGGCTCCAGCTTTTGCTATACCACTAGATGTGATATTTTGGGAAATTTACTTATTCCTCTTAATCATTGTGGTTTTCTTCTGGTGTACTGGGGATCAAACCCAAGGCCTTACACATCTGGGCAAGAATGCTACCAGGGAACAAAATCTCCAGCTTTTACTTATTCCTCTTGATACTCAGTTTACTCATCTTTGGAGATGTGGACAAGAGTAATATTTACCTTATAATAAGCCTGAAAGATGAAATAGTTGAGACTAATATTTAAATTCTAGACCCCCGTACATATGTACTCATAATTCATAATTATTCTAATTATTCAATTTTCTCCTTTCCTTTTTATCTGTGGCTAATGTTCTTGTTAATCTCTATCTCTTCTGTGGAAAATGATCCTTGAAAGGGAAGAAGGAATCCAGGCTACGATTTCGCTTGCTTACAAATGATCCCAATACCTGAAGATTGGAGTGTTTATTTTATCATCCATCCGTCCACCCATTTATCTTTCTACTCATTTTACAGTTATTGGGTGCTTGCCTCATGCTATCACTGTGATGTACAAAAAGATTACAAACATTAATAGGACAGCTTCTGAGAGATTTTTGAACTTGTGGAGGCAGAAGAATTTAATTCAGCTTTTTAGGGTCCTCAGTGTTTCCCTAAACTGAAATAATGAAGAAGTGGAAAAACTGAAAAAATAGTAAAAATTAATTCAGGTGACATATTGTTTTGGACATTTTCCAGTGGGATAATTATGTAAAAGCAGGCTGACATTTCTATCTCTAGCTTTCTATGCTTGTTAAAATACTTTTCTTGCTGAGATACTCACTGAGGCAAATTTCATCTAACATCTGGCCATTGTATAAATATAGTAATGAAAACATGTCTTGTTGCTTACACTTTAGGTATAAATTTTAGAAATCCAATTAGTGTTTCAGTCTTTGTATGCATTTGTCTTTTTCTTTAGTGTTTGAGCTAATTTCAGGCTCCTACCTGGAACTATAAGAATTCAAACATTTAGCACACAACTCTGCAGCCAGAAGCAACTAGATTGAAGAATAATGCTTTGTAGCGTGTCTTAATGATTGCAAGATACTAATTAATTTTTTTCTCTGTCCATACAGCAAGCACTTTGAAGTGAAGTGTCAAGCCTCTTTTCAATGCCTAAGAGTGGTGGTAAGAATGGGTAAAGGTATAGAATATAGAAGATGCAGTCTTAGCCCTTAATGGGTTTAGAATCTAGTGGACGAGACAGACAGCCACACAAATAATTTCACTACATTGTGACAAATGCTGTGAGAGATACATATCCACCTGGCTCCTAAGGGATCATTCACCCTTAATGGGCTGAGTTTCATACTACATATATGATTGTCCTCATCCTCCATTGAGAGTCTATAACCTCTCAAAATTGAGAAGGCCCTCAAACAAGAATCCAAGGGGGTAACTCAGTACTCATTGAACCCACATTATCCATCTGGGTAGGCAGAATCTGCCCAGTGCCCTGAGGGTAGATCATCTATTTAGCAGTGCCAGTCCCAGTTGTTTGGGTCTTGACTTGCAGACTCACAGTGATGACAGCTGATATCTCATGGCCCATTTTGCATGGATGTGAACGTTCTGAAACAAGCATAATTTTCACTGTCTACATAAGTCTACCATAGTGTATACTCTACAGGCTTTCAAAACATACTTTTGATTTCATGGATTCCATCATCATTTCATTTGGTGTTGATTATATTCAGATACCTAAACCTCCTGTTCATTCTAAAGGAAGCTCATAAACTCTAATTTGCAAAAACTGCAAATGAATTTTGAACATAATCAAACACAATATTTACCTTTAAAAAACACTCTGAAGTTTATTTGCACAAGCTTAGTTGTATGAGATGCAACATAATTCATGGAAATCAACCACAGTGCTAATACCTTAACAGATTATTCCAAATATTAGACATTACCGTTTAAATCTCTTTAACATTAACTCTAATGCTGGAATAACATTTCAGTTAATAAATAATTGTGAATATAACCATATGTTCAGTTTATTCTCCCTGGTTTATCATGAATTACAATTTTATTATGATTTGGATCATAAAAATGATAAATACTTGTGTATATATTTTCACAAATTGCATGTTTATTTAATTAATCCTGAAGAAAAGCTGGAAATGCATTCTAGTGGGGTTATACAAGTAGGTGTGTCTTGTAGTCCTTTGATTTCCAACATAAATAGGTAGCTCTATAACTGCTTGTCCACTCAGTGCTTATTGCTCATGCTGGGTAGCATTTATCTGATATGTACTTTTGTAGGCCATCGGTAGTCATCTGCAAGAGTGAGGGGCTACAGTGTTCGATCTTTGAATTAAGTGTCTTCCCTGTATTTCATAGAATCATAGGTTTCAAAAGTTAGTGTTGCTTTGGGGTGATCTGTCAGGCATTAAAACACAAGTGTGAACTCACAAAATCTGAGGTAAAGGAAGTGATTTTTGTTACATTATACTATCCAGATAGTAATCCTATTTTCTTAATGATTTTCAGGCTATAATCATTTTAGGGAAGACACACGTACTTCCAGGTATAAAGTGTTCTGAACTCATTGTATGGTGCTGATGGTCAGGATTTATACTGGCTTTTATATATATATATTTTTTTTTTTTTGGTAAGGTTGTCTATTCAGCTCAGACTGTCATCTTCTGTTGTCACAAAGGCAATTTCTCTGCCGCATGCTCAGAATGTGTTGCAATAAACACCCTTATCAGGATTAAATTTAGCATTTGAATTTGCTCCTCTATTTTGGAATTTCCCTGTCATTATCGAGTTTAAACATGGAGTCAGGCCTCTACTATATCAGATAGCTCACTTGCATCATATATATTTCCCAAGTATTTCTACTCTCCTTGTACTACAGTCAACACTGAACAGCAGCTTGAGCTAGCATCTAGGAACTGCAGTATGAAAAGGTTTAGGTCACAGAAAACACAAGAATTTAAAAAGTTAAATGGCAGAGACACAATGCAGGCCCCTGAAATGTGTCAACTATTTAGGTTCCAGGAAATATTTTCTTCCAGAGTAAAAAGGTGAGGACTCCTGAAAGAACACGTTATTTTCAACAGTGGAAACCCACATTCAAAATCTTGGCCCTAAGATCTTTTTTTATGAAACCCCCAAAACTTAAAAAATGTTTTTTTCCTCTATGTACTGTTTTGACAAACCACGTGCATTTTTCAGACTAGGGGCCACCATGTAATTCTGGGGTGTTTGTGTACTCCTCCTGGGGGAAGAACCAGTTGGCACTGTTCCATGACTGGGTATAATTCATTTATGTCTTCCCGGTTTTTCCTCTCTGATCTCTTCTCTGTGTATCTGTCAGCTGCGGTCTCCTGGGAGCGGCACTATGCACTTCATTAATAAGAAGGGATTAAAGAAAAAAGCCCCAGTCTCCTAATACACTTGGATAATTTGGTGCCATCCACCAGGCAGTAGACCCCTGCTGCATAGATGTCATTAGAAAGGTACAATTTCATTACTTTTTACTGGCAGAGCCTTGAGTGAAATACAAAATATGTTGTTTCATATGCAGAAAAAAAGAGTGCTGAAGCTTCCTTCCACTGCATGCCCCTAAACACAGTCAAATGCAAAAATATATTTTATGGTTTTCACATTTCATGCCTCCCTTTCACAGTACTCAAAATCAGGCTTTTCATTAAATATTGACCAAAGTAAGGATTAAAACATTATTTCTATTTTTAAATCCCAAATGAGATTTCTATGTTTTTACTAACACACTTGCTTGGAATACCTACTATGTGCCCAACACGCTATTGGGTGCTGAGCAACAAACTATAGAAATATCATTCACTTTAAAAAACCCTCTAGTTTATTGACTGCTATCATTGGAAATGAATGTAAAAGTGAGCATATAGGAAGTAAACCACATAACAGAATAAAAATAAGTGGAAGCTTGTACTTTATAAGCACACTTAGAAATGTGTTGAACTCTTGCTTTTTAACTAAATTTACTTTTGAACTGACATGTTTGCTGATGGTCGATGTTACTTTTTGAACTGAACCATCCCTCAATCTTATGCCTTTAGTGGCGGCATACTGTGCAAATATTTGAAATTAAGGGCGTAAACCACCCTGGCAGATTCGCCCTGTACTTTCTACAGGTGCCACCCTTCAGGAAGTGACCCCTATCACTTGTGCAGCGGTGTGATGGACGCAACTGTGATGTAGGGGCCGGGCTTTAGGCACCTGCCATAAAATACGTGAAGACACCAGTGAGACTGGTGTGATGACTCCAAGAACCTTGCACTCCCACACATCACCCTTTTCCTAGCACCGAAGAGAATCAGGTTTAATAATGGTCCATTATCTTGCTGCCACAGACACACAACTGCCATTACCACTAAAAAGTGGCACACGGTTGGAATTGTGCCGCGGAGAAGAAAGCCTTTGTGACCAGCTATTTACATGCCCACTCCTTGCGGTGATGGGGCTTTGCTTTTTCGACTACTAGCTTTTGCCCTGCAAAATTGACATTTGCCGCAGCTCTTTGTCTCAGATAAAGGCCAGACTAGACAGTTAGGCTGATAAAACTTGGGGTCTCAGAAAACATTCTACTGACAAAAGGCAAAGCAGTGCAGAGAACACAAATTTCCTTAACAAATATACTAGTCAGTAACAAAGCATTTTAAAATCGGGCTGGGTTATATACAATACCTTTACAAATGAAAGGTTTGAAAAGAGTGGATGGCCTCTCCCTTTTCTGTCTCAACCATGGCTTGCCTCATCGGACACACATTTCAATTTGCTCAAATGTCATTACGCAGGTAGTGAAGATCAACAAATGTCACAGAAGTGAGAGAGCCGCGGAGGTGAGGACTCTGCAGAACCAGTCTGTACCTTCCGGAGTGAGCAGGGCTTAAATACCAACAACATGTCACGAATCAAGTAGCTAAGTTCTTGTGAAAAGTCTCACCTAATGTTTCAATACAGATAACCTAAGTTACAAGCACACAAACTCCCCAGTTTTGCCAATAAATTAAAAAAAATAAGCAAAGTGGTTACACGGTTAAAAGCTTAGTTTGTTAACTTTGTGTGATGCATTTGGGGATGTGCACTGAAAACAGATCAGCCATTTGATGCCAGAGTACAGATTTCCCTTTTCCTTGGAATTTCTGTATGATGGTAACTTTTCCCTGACCCACTGTGAGATTTCCTGTCTACTTGTCCTGAATCCCAATAGTGTCCCTAATGATTTAGATGTTTTAGGAGGTGGAACTAGTAAGTAGAGAGGGTTTCTAAATGTTATTATCAATTCTCTGGGCTTTAGCCCACATTGTCTTCCATACTGAGGAGGAAAAAGAATCATAATGAATTGGAATTGGGGTTGAAAGTTGGATATTTGCAATAAAAATGGAAACAGCTGGTGAAAAATGACCATTGCTCTTGTTCTTTTGCAGAGGTAGTAATGTATAGTACCCCCAAAGAGGAGCTATCTTTCGGTAAAGAATTATCAGAAAATTGAAAAATGTAATCAATAAAAGGAGAGAAGGAGAAGAAACAATACTTTCTTCTTTCCTGTTCAAATGTTATATAATAATTTATGGATATTATAAGTAAGGGGTTGGTTATGAAAGAACTTACTATATTTTTTCTTTTGAGTGGGCATGACCCTGTGGCAATACTGCATTTTCTTATTATTAAACTTGACTCAATGGAACAAATATTCAAATGATAATATCATCAGTAATACCAGTTTCCTCACAGAGGAGGAGTAAGCTGATGGGTTTATCTCTATGTTTTGTAGAACAAGACTTAATCAAATCTTGACACACATTTCAAACTGGTTATTAACAAAAGGCAAGTAGATAAACTATGTCCATATTTGCTTTGGGGATACTTTTACAAGAATTCTTTTTTAGATTTGAAATTCACAATGGGTTTCTTCCTTTCCTCCTTGGTAAAGAATGAAATATGTACTGATTAGACTGAGTACTATGATGAGAAATGACAAATCTGCATGTGTCTAACTTACAACAAATCTGTTTCCTTAATGGGTGGCAGGAAATCTGAGGACAGTTCTAAGGAATCTCGTCTGCTCTCAGTGCTATCTTCTAGTCATACCGAAGACAACACCTCTCCGGACGGGTCTTTCCCCTTCTTCTCCTCACCCCGGTCCATGTCAATCACGTGCACCACTCCAGGTTTCAGAATCAAGTCCTCGGTTTCCACCTGGCTCCTGTTGTCCTCCACCTCCATGTAACTCCCTTTTGTTTGTTGGGCAGCTTTGCTGAAGGCTTCCTTAAGCCGACGTTTGAGTTCAACATCAGGACAGAAGACATACTCATAAAGGCCACCAGCTAGGACGGCTCCTATGATTGGTCCAACCCAGTATATCTGAAGGAAAAATGGGAGCGGATAGAGTGTTAAAGGAAAGGTATTTCATGGAGCAACTCCTGCTTATAGGATTTAGCTGAGTTAAACTAAGGACAATTATGTCATGGAAAAGAGGATGGATAGGAAATGAGAGAATATAACAAATCCACACCAGAGATCCATAAATTATTATAATATTTGAACAGGAAAGAAGAAAGTATTGTTTCTCCTTCTCTCCTTTTATTGATTACATTTTTCAATTTTCTGATAATTCTTTACTGAAAGATAGCTCCTCTTTGGGGATACTATACATTAAGCCAACATTAAGAATTCTTGTACTAAAACTGAAAAGGAAAAGAATTTGTGGAGAGCACTTCCTTTGCCTGCTCAGCATTGCCATCTTACTTCCATTTGCTGCATGATCAGGATCACAGCAGGGCGTATCATTTGGGGCTCTTGTTATTTAGTACCATGTGATAAAGGGACTCCCACCTCCACTACTTAGCAATTTTGTGACTGCCTATATTAGTCACTTAACTTCCTGTACCTTAGTTTTCTCATCTGCAAAGCAGGGATTATAATTAAACATATCTTATAGATGTGAAGATGCCATAACACTTGTAAAGCACTGAATAGTTTCTAATTTATAGCCACAGGCTCCACTTCTTTGAAAATTTAAAGATGTCTGTCACTAAGACTGCTAAAAATTATTATTTTCTTTATGTTGCATGGTTTTTCTCTTTAAAATTTGGTGGTTTAACTCTATTTAAAAACCTGTGTTTTGTTTACTTCTCGTGTTGCAAAGAGCTTTCCTCTAAGTGGTGACTTGGTGAAAAATGTCTTGAATTTATGATTGATGGTTAATTATTATCCATAAAGCTTCGACTGATTGAAATACCATAGGATTTCAATAAGTGAAAGTTTTACTCATGTCACTTATGCACCTAGAGTAAACTAAAGTTTTGAGTTTGATTAAACTGTACCATTTAGTTTTGAGCACAAGATACTATAAAGTATTAGATGCTAATTCAACAGAGTGACTTGGGAAATAGAAACCTTGTTTACTGAGAGTCTAGGAGCTAGCCATAATTAGCTCTTTTCTTGTTTTAGCTCACTTAGTTCTATCTTTGGTCTTTGAGATAGATGTTACTATTACCTGTATTTTAGGGGTAAGAAAACTGATACCTTGGGAGGGTGAGAAGCTCACTGAAGACTGCAGGCTTAAAAAGTGGTCAAGCTAGGATTTCAGGTCTGCCTGACTTCAATCCTCTCTTTTGAGCCATTATACTGTTTCCTACTATACTACACTACTCCCATTTGAAAAAAAAATATGATGAATATTCATGCTTAAAACACTCTCTGGAAACAAATCACACTAAACATCATTATTGTAAAATCTAAAGAAAATTTAAATTTTAAGCCAAAGCTAAGCACATATCCTTCACTGCCACTTTGCTGGCAGAATGGCTGTAAGAACCAAGCTTTTTATCTTGAACATGAATGAACCAATAGGAGACTTTATCTTCCCTATGCTCTTTCCAAGGAGAAATGAGAGCCTTCCTCTAAACGTCTGCTTTCTCCTTTTGTGGAAACATCTCATTAAATCTGTACTATTCCTCAGGATCTAAATCTCAGAAAAGAAAAGAGAGATGGTTTAATAATTATTATCCTTCTCCAATACATCTAAGAAGGAGACAAGTAGGTGTGTGTTCTCAAAGATAAACAATTTCAGTGCCAAATTGCTATTCCAAGACAATGTCATGTATATGTTAAAGTAACTTTAAAAATTTATAGAGGTAAGAATTTTTATTGCTAAATTATAGAACATACATAGAAGTATAAAGAACACTAAAATAATGTCATTATACTCACAAAAATCACAGCTAATATTTTGATGATATTTCTAGTATATCTATTTATAAGTGTGGTTTAACTTTAAATACCATAGATCCATCGCTACACAATGAACATTTATTTCTAGGAAGATTGAATTTGTTAGAAAATAATAGGGTGGAATTTTTGACCTAATCAGCAAGCCAAGAATTTTCCTACCATTTCAATTTTGTCAGTTTATACTTTTGTCCACATTTTCAAATCCTCATAAATCAAATTAAAAGATATTAGTTACAAAATAGTTTGAATTTAATAAGCTAGTACCATATGGTCTATATGTTACTCATTAAAAATTTCCATTTTTGTTAATGTGACAAATCTTTTGAAACATCAATTGAGTGGGTGGGTCTTGGCCAATAACCATCATATGCATAAGATCAAAACACAAATGATATATAGTTGTATTCATAAATTTTTAACAATCGTAAAACAACATATAAGTGATGATAATAGCCCCACTTGCAGCCAGCCTATATTTTTATTGGTTATTGTAGGTTAGTGTATAAGTGGCCTTTGCAACTGCTTTATGACTCATTTGAAGAATTTAATTGTTTTGCTGTCAGAAGCATGGAGATAAAATTGATTGTGATAGTTAAAAATGGATAGCATCCCTCTCTGGAAGTGTTGCCACTACATTCATAAGCAGCTTAGGCCTGAGATAGAAAAGTGTGGCTCTTTTTCTCATAGTGATGTATTTTTCCAGCTACAGTTATGGTGATGATAGCATAAACATTTGCACCATTTATTCCACACCATCTGCAGTTCAAACGCTTCCAACTCACATACTATTAATTGGGTTATGCTTTTGTAACCAAAAAAAAAAATTTCTGCTACAGATTATGCTTTTTAAACTTTTCTTCTTTACTTTTTTTTTTTTTTTTTTTTTTTTTTCAAATTTACTTTCTGTTATTGTTGGGAAGGCTTTTCTTTCAATTATTTAAACACCACATTCACTGCACCATCCTGACCTTAATTTGTTCCATATAGGCAACCTCCATGTATCAAGTATTCTGCTGCAGTCTTTCAGATATGTGCCTGGACTAGTGCTTTAAAAAATGATGACAAAAACTATTACTGAAGGCCCAGAACAGACACAAGATGAGAAGTTTTGCAGCATATCTGTGGTGGAGTGTCCCTAGTCTTTATGAAAGATGTAATAAAGTGAGAGTCAAGGTTGGGGGAATGCAGCAGAAACTAGTGAGCAAAATAATGAAAAAAGAAAGAGCCTCATGGATAACTGTCTTCAACTATCTATAAGACAAGAGGAACTTTCAACACGATGGTTACCCAGTGGTTTTCCCAGTTTCCCATGATAACTGCAGGTCCAAAGGATCTGGCAGGATTCATGCTGGCACCAGTATAATTGATCTACAGAAAAAAAGAGAACTTCAGACATCGTTGAAAGAGATCTTCTAACACATATCCTTTATCACCATTTGTCATTACCTGACAAGTCAGTTAGAGGAACCTCAAGATGTTAGGAGCCATATGTTAACATGCTCATCATACAGTTAGTAAAATGACCACCTAAAAGGAACAGATGTGCCTGGATGCTAAAGAGCTGCAGCTGTAACACACAGCATCTCCAGGCCAGCACTAGGGTGAGGATAAATGAGATGGATCAATTATTTAAATGGATTTGGAAACTTACTGCAAATAAATGTCCAATTGCAACCGAAAATCCAATTGCTAAAGCTATTGAACCAGTGACATCAGTCCGCTTGGAATCACAGCTGGCAAAAATAGTAAACACCAGCTGAAATGTGATTATCAACTCTACCAGAAGACCATGACCGGCAGTAAGATTTCCATGAACCTGAAGAGAGAAAAATAGTCCATCTGAACCACATATCTGTGACAACCTATCATTACGGCAGGCATAGTTAATCTGGATGGAAAGTAATAACTAATTTAAGTCTTCTACACTATCCTCAGTTGACACCTCCAGCCTTTCCTTTTCCCCAAAAGAAGAAATAAATTTATACTCATTTTGGGCTTTCATAGATAATTACTTTTACAATGACCAAGCAGGACTTTATGCTGAGTTTCATTTTCTGTCAAGAAAGCGAAATGTGCCACAGTTGCACTTCTAAAACTTTCCTGAGAGACTTATAATTTTATTAGGCAATGATTAAATCCATTAATTAGGTTTAAATTAATATGTATCTCAAAATTTAGATTATGGTATATGTGTGTGTGTGTGTGTGTGTGTGTGTGCGCATGTGCATTTAAGTCAACTCTGGAACTCAGCTAATGATATTCTTAACCAGTTAAAAACTAGGATCTTATATCAATTTGTTTTCATAAGTGCGACCCTTTATGCAGATCATGTTAAATTTGGTGAGTATGAAAAGAAACGTGATTGTTTCTTCTGTTGATAACCAAATAATTGTAAAAGATAGTTGTGATAAATGCATAGCATAGTTACTATGATGGGAAAGAGGGAAAAATCCGACAGCATTTTGTGTCACCTAGACTTAGTTATTGTTCAAGTTTCTTGAGAGCAAACAGTGATTTCCTATGAGCATTTTTGATGTTACCAGACTGTTTTTACTCTATCAAGAATCATAAAAAATCCCTGGGAATAAATGAGCAACTGTAAGACTCTCTCAAGGCTACCAGGATATCATTTAGCAGAGTCTGCAGGCAGCCCGGAGCGAGTCCTAGTCTGAAAAGAAGAGTGTAAGAGATTACCGTGGTGACTCCCAAGCCTCCCACCACGCTGGGAGGTGTGACCAGGTAGAGAATCCCAGCTCCTACGATGGCCCCCAGGCACTGCGCTGCGATGTAGAAGACAGATTTGGCAATGCTGATCTTCCGGGTGCACACCATGGCCACGGTCACAGCAGGGTTGATGTGGCCACCACTGATGTGGCCAAAGCACTGCACCATCGTGGCAATGCTGAGTCCAAAGCACAGAGAGATGAGAACCATGTCGACAGGTAAGGGCTTTTCTGTTCCACCCCAGTTGATGGTGGATCCCAGGCTAAGCAGGACAAAGATAAGCATGGCCAGAAATTCTGCGGTGACTGCCTTCCAGAACGCTTGAGTCCAGACTCCTTTGAAAGCCACCATGATGTTCTGCCTGGTACACAAGGGTCTACACTTGCTGAAAAGAAAAGCGAATCTGCATCAGAAGCCGCCAAATGAGCCTTCCCACTGCAGGGATTTATGAACTTAGAGAAGGGGGCTAGCCCTCCACTTTTTCTGGGACTACGGGGGAGGCACTGCCAAGTATTACTCACAAACCAAGGAAGAATGGTCGGTAATATCTTAACTAGTAGTCAAGAAGGTGTTATTTTAGTCTCCCTTGATTTAATACACCCAGATCATCCAGCTGCATGGGACAGGCACCCCAGCTGTCCTTATAAGGAAATTGTCTCAATCACATTGATCTGGTCGTTCATTCCCTTAAAGCAAGTTTTAAAGTTTGTGCTTTTTATATGGCATTTACATTGTGAAAATAAAGCCATAAAGCAGGCAGGTCTTTCTCAGTTCTGTACTCTGCAGCTTCAACACAGCACCTTCTGAAAATGGATTGGTCCCCCCGACCCCCAGCAGAGAGTGTGGACTTAGAGGGGGGTGCCAGGAAGCGGGCACTGTCTTTTGGGAAGGTAAATTCACAGAGGGGGCAGGAGCTCCTGGAGCCTGGCATCTGGCATTGCCGGTGGGAACCGCAGGGACTCAGCTGGGACAGGCACTGGCTCCCTCTCCCCTGCGCCAGGAGGAGCGCGACGCCAGCAGGAGGAGCCCGGGAGCTGGGCCGCCGGACACGCGCACGGCAGCGGGCCCCAGGGGAGCCTGAGCGCCCCCCGGCCGGGCTGGGCTGAGGGCAGTTGCCAGGTGGACGGAGGGGCCCAGGGGTTGAGGAGAGCAGGGCGTAACGGATGCTTTTGAAGGGCTGGGGAGGAAGGGCAGCTGCTCCTCTCTCCCAACCCTTGGTCCACCCCCTCAGCCCACTCTCAAGGGCTTTTGGAGGTTGGGGTAGCACGCAGTGCAGGGCAGGGGCAGCCTTCTGCCCGCTGGAACGAGAGGGTGTGTGGTAGGGAGCCATCTTCTGAGCGGAAGGGTTGTTCTGCAGGCTTCCTGCGGCCTTTCCTTGTAGGGGCGTGGGCCTGGAGGGCAGTGTGCTTCTTCTTGGGAATCCTGTGTGGGATGCTGTGCGTGTGTGTGTGTGTGTGCGCGCGCGCGCGCGCGCGTGCGTGCGTGTGTGTGTGTGTGCGTGAGTGTGTGTGTGTGTGTGTGTGTGTGTGTGTGTGTGTGTGTGT